GGCTAGGGGTTGGAAGAAGAAGAGAGACAGCTTTCAAAAGTGAATTATTTTAAAACTGAATAGAATACATGTACTTGTATAGTACATGCACATGAAATGCTCTGTTTCGGAGTCCAGAAAATAGTTGATGATTTTGCAGACTTTGAATGTTGGCAATCAAAAGTAAATTTGGCACGTTGACCTGGTTGTTTTGCTGTTCAGTGCATAGGAGTTTAGCACAGTGTACGAAAAAAAAAACAACTTTGTCAGAAAATTGGATGAACCATTAGTTACCAGATGAAATGGTGACTGCATTACTGAATGGGAGTCATTGGTTTGAGCACCGGTACGTCTCACGAAACGTTTCTCACTTGGTGAAATTTCATAGAAAGAGCTCAAAACAGCTTGGAGAAGGGCATACTGCTTATTATCACTCAAGACTCGCATTTCAACAGGAGTGACTGGCTTGACTCTCAGTAGTGCCATTACTCTGATATAGTAATTGCTGCATGGAACACATACATGTGTTGCTCACAGATGTGACCCTTTCTCTTTCTCGTCGCAGTCACTCAAGTATTCATTCCAAACGACCGACCGGCTGTGTTTTGTCATGGAGTATGTCAACGGTGGGGAGCTCTTTTTCCATCTGTCACGGGAGCGAGTGTTCACGGAGGATCGGACCCGTTTCTATGGTGCCGAGATAATCTCAGCTTTAACCTATCTCCACGAATGCAATGTCATCTACCGTGATCTCAAGGTGCATACTCTAGACTGTATTATTCTCTTGCCGCCTTTTTTTAAATTCTGTGGTTGTATTTGGAAATTAGCAGTTTGTCATTAGCAGGTAGGACCCTGTCATGTACTATGATAGATTGAAAAAAATTGGTTAATGACCGTGTTACAGAAGATGACAGGCAAGCTAATTCCATGGAATTTCCCTGAATGGTTTGGGGGAAAAAAAGGATTTTCAGATTCCGAAGGAATGCCATGCTTTTGGTAGCCTCCAAGTTTCATATAAAAATTTCCTCCTGCACCTTGACCTTTTTTGTAGAATTTTGAAATCTGAAAAGAAATACCAGAAAAAAAATTTACGATGTGCAATTTGGAACTTAATGATCAGAGTTTCTTTTTATTATTTATTTTTTATATTAGGGAATATTAACTTTTTTATGTAGACATTCGTGATTCCCATAAAATCGGTCGAGTACAATGGTGTTATTTAGTGCAGGAAACTTTGGCTCAACCAGTTTTCGTGGGATTTCTGTGAAAAAGTGGTTGACTGCGTATTTGACTGTTCCTGTTATTTTGCCTTTCCTTTTATTTGTGGATTTGCAACCAAGTTTGGAAAGGAAATCTTTGGAAAAGTTGGAAAGATTAAATATTCTTGGGAAAAGCTGTGTAATTTTCATTTTTCTTTAATTTCTGCTGCTGAAATATTTGTCATTTATAGTACACTGTACTTTGTGTTGACAGTAAGAATTTCTCCTTTGAATTCTGTGATTATCTAAGTAAACCAATTTATTTGGCTCCCAACTCAAGAATATAACCGTTTATTGCCACTGACCCTGTTAGAATATTGACCCCACTGAAGAACAAAAGCAAAATACAAATGAAAAACCAAACCTTTTTCAAAGGGAACCCAACGTGAGAAATTTCAGGATAAAAAGAAGCAGCCTCATATAGCAACGTATGTACTCAGATGTCTGAAGTCAAACCTCAGAGTTTGTAAAGTGTGTAACATCGAGCCAGTTCGGTGTTTCAAAAAAGGCCAGATCATTTGTGAGCAAAGTATACGTGTGGTCGAGGCAGACCAATTAGGGTAGACCTCACTGGAGCATGTTGCTGTTCCCAAATGACCTTGGACATGTTTCATATTAGGCATATGGGCTTACAGTGTATTGTCTTGTCCTTTGAGACCAGTAGCTGGCATTATCATTCTTTTCCTCTGTATGTGTCTGACTGTCTTCACTTGGTAGTTGGAGAATCTTTTGCTGGATCAGTACGGTCATATCAAGATAACGGACTTTGGACTGTGTAAAGAGGACCTGTCGTACGGCAACACGACCAGCACATTTTGCGGAACGCCAGAATACTTGGCACCAGAGGTAGGCCCTTTCTATCTATTTGCCCTGCTCTCGCTTGAAATGCTCACGAGTCTTCCAAACTACTGCATGTTACAGAAACAACTGCATCTCTAAATTCTTTCCAACCAAATTGTGCCCAGTATTTGTTTTTGTTATGCATATGAGGGGGCCGATAAGTTATTGTCATGTGAGCTGCGTGTCCCTGATGGTTTTACACTTTTGCCGTGCCTGAGCACTCCACGACCTGTTCTTTTTTTATGTGTATCGGCGTGGAGACAATAACTAGATTGATTCCAGAGAGTTATCTTTGTTTTAAAATAAAAGTTAATGTCTATTTTACTGCCAAAACCACAGGTCAATGTTGTTCTGTCGATTTGTGACTACAAAAGGGAGTAAAAAATTTGTAATAAGTGCACTACTGTTTTATTCAAATAGGCATAAATGATTTTGTTTATTTCAACACAGAAATTTATAACTACGCATGGAGGAAACTCTGCTTCTGTGAATGGCCCCCTTTACTGTGTTTTGTGTCTTTTTTTTTTGAGTACTGAAGGTACTGTTCTTAAAATTCACCTAGTAATCAACCTCTTGCTCCTTGAAATGGGTAGAGTCGCTTCAAATTTTATAAAAGATTTCATGGATTTTATATAATTTAGGATGGCTTAATCAGTTCACAGAGAATACAGAGGATGTTTGAACAGGGCACTTTGCACATTCTGATGGGTTTAAATGCCAAGCGTGACTCATCACTGCTTGCGGACTGGTATACACATTAATGCCCCCATGTACTTGTTTTGCGCACGCACAAAGGTTGTGAAGTCTGTGAAGGCAGACTGTCTGTGGCACTCAACCCTTTGATCATACAGAGTGTTCCAAAATTTGAGGTTTGGGTAAGATACGTGTACGTCATTCAGATATTAAAAATTAATTTCAAGAGTCAGTGTCTGTAGCATTTGACTGTAAGGCTGATGCAGTTTCTTGTCGTTTTCGAAAGGCAAAATTTTGGCCCCCCCCCAAAAAAAACACCCAAGAAGAAATGTGCTATAATCAGTGGCGTATCCGGGGGGGGGGGGGCAAATAAAAGCAAGGATGTCTGGACAGTGAGTAAGACTTTTGAGGGGTTTTTTGTCCACAGCATCATGCTGAATGAGCCCGAAGATGCATTTGCGTTTTGATTTGCCCCCAACACAAAAGCTGGATACGCCGCTGGCAATAATGTCATGAGAAACGATTTCATTGGACAAACAAGTAGATTTGGGTGTCAAGGTAAACTACAACAAACTGTATATCTCACATAAATGAAACCAAATAGCAGAGAGCCAAGGCTTGTTGTCATTTGCCTACAGGTTTTAGAAGACAGTGATTACGGCCGGGCCGTCGACTGGTGGGGTACCGGTGTCGTCATGTATGAGATGATGTGTGGCCGATTACCATTCTACAGCCGCGACCATGAAGTCCTGTTCGAGCTGATCCTTGTGGAGGAGGTCAAGTTCCCAGCGAGGTTAACCGAAAGTGCCAGGTCATTACTAAGTGGTCTTCTGGCGAAAGATCCGGCAAAGCGGTACGTGAGTGGACCTTGGATTAACCACTCAAACTTGGCATGGACAAATATAACACTTCTGCAAAGAGTGTCGCCACTCCCAAGTTTTGACAAGGAGTTCAGCACATTGCCAACCTGCAGTATGGTAGCTTGTTCTAGTAACTTATGTTTAAAGATTATAGCCTTGTCTTTTTCCCCAAGAACACTTGGCCTTTAATATGTCACAAGGCATTTCACCAGATCTCATGGCCAGTGGCAGGGCTCAGGAAGATTGTGAATATATGTTGAGATAAAGCGGTATCTAGTCTTGGTTGCAGTTCAAATTTGTGCTGACAGTATATGGTAGGTTGGGAAACATGAAACACAAGTGTTTTGTTTTTGGCCTTAAGGAGTTCCTGCTAAATACTTGTATAAGGTGGGGCCTTGGCTTTGATGCAAGTACAGGTACCGGTAAAGCTGGATGCTTGTTTCTAAATGAAGAATTGACTTGCCACCTTCAATAAAGAAATCCCTATGAGAACAGTAAAGAGACGCGATTCGGTTGAAACCACCAGACTTGTTAAATGAGATCTTTAATTAAAAAGTGGATTTGTTTTGGGTTTTTTTGTTTTTTAGGCTGGGAGGAGGTCCACAGGATGCTCAGGAGATCATGGAGCACCCGTTCTTTGCCAGTATAAACTGGGAGGACCTTTACAACAAAAAGGTACATCTGAAAACATCCGTCACCCCTACCTACAAAGTCGACCGCAAGAGCTTGCAGACATGCATTAAACATTGCCATCTTGATTCTTAGTCGATCAGTCCCCAAAGATTGTTAGAAGTTGCACTCTCGAAGATGTTTGATTTGAAGATGTCACTAATTGCTGTTCAGATTTATGAGTCCGTTCTCATGTTTTGAAGCGTGATGTATCCTTGTTTCATGATGAGGGCTCTTTCAGCTTTGATTGTCGAGTCATATTCAACACAAATGCAAATGCTTGGGAGCATTTTTGACATATCAGTTGTTCGTGCTGCAGAGTGTGGAAATCTAACAGTTCAAGTCTTTTGAATTTCTCTGCTACGCTTCAGTACATCTTCAACTATGAACTGAATGTTGAAGTCCAAAGATCCAGACAGATTGTTTTTGCAGTCTGATGAGAGTATGTTGACTTGCAATCAAATCAAGAGTGTTTTTTTTCACCTCGCCACATTTTGATGTTATCTTTCAAACAGTTATTGTGGAAGAGATGCTAATTGGCATCAGACTATTTCAGAATGTGTTCAGAAATCTTGCGCATTGTGAGACCGTCCTGCTCTCATTGGTGTGCAGAACAGAGTTCAGTTCCTCATCAATGTGGAGGGGAGATGTTGTGGAGATGATTTGACCTGTTGTAATTCCCTGCTGTCCTATATTCCTCAGATCGAACCACCCTTCAAGCCAAGTGTGAAATCGGAGACGGACACCAGGTACTTTGATGAAGAGTTCACTGCTGAGCCTGTGGAACTCACTCCACCGGATGAGAACAGTGAGTGATATTTCTTAGGCAGACACCACTCTCTGTAACTTGTGAATGCTTCCATTTGTGGCATGTGTTTTATTATTACACGAGCATTGACTGTTTCGACATGTACCACTAGTTTGTGAGAAGATCCTTGTGACATTTTCTTGAGGGAATAACCAGAGAAGTATAGCAAAGGAAAAGAATGGACCTTGCAACCATTCACAGAGGATGTTGACTATTGTAATTGAAAAGTATCTGTTTCAAGTAGAAATAATCAGTGGCTTTCACTGAAGTTACTGCACCAAAGTGTTAAAGCAGTGTATAATCTGCCCCAAGTCGAAGCACCCCCTCGCATGGCCCTGAAGAGACAAGCTAGTGGGCAGTTTCCCAGTCGGGCTCATTCTCCTGCATTGTGCACATGCTCAGACTGTATATTCAAACAGAAATTGGTTGCGCGTGCTCAGCATGGACCGTGTCAGACACTGCTAAACCTGGGTCGAGTTCCCCACCAAGGGACCATGGTGGTTATGCAAAAGTGCACACTCCCTTGTTCCGTCACAGAAAGGAAACTTTGCACATCGATTCTTTGTTTGACTTGAGATCGAGTCCCTCACTGTAGGAGGAAATGTTCACCTCAGCAGCAGTAATCCATTTCATCCCTGCGTATAACATTGGAAGAGGCAGGCTGTCTGCTTTAGTGCACGAACAAGTGAGGATGGTTTGTCACTGAGCAACAACATCCTTCTTGGTGGGGACAGTGTCTATGGGCAATGTGCATTTGTTGCAGACTGTGCTGAGCATGCTTGACCAATTGCTGGTGGCATGTCAGGTGCGTGCATGAACTCCCCACCAACCTGTCTCTTCATTGCTGGTGAGGGGGTATTTTTGGTCAGACCAGATAGGCTGTACACAAAACCTTAGCAACTTTTTGGAAGCCCTTGGAACAGGCATGAAAGAAGGGGGAGTGGCATAGCGTAGGGACGGAGACCATTTAAACCCGGTTTGAAAAGGGCTGTAGTGTTGCCAGTTGAATAAAGCCCAGTTGAATAAATACCAGCCCAGGCAGGCAGGCAGGCAGGCAGGCAGAGGAAGGCATTCTTTCAGCTGGGCTCTCTTGTTTCCAAGCGCAAAACATAAACTATCCAAGACTGGGCTCGCTTGTGGTTCACTAATCTCAATAGCACTGGCTGATCCATTAAGCTCCCTTTTGTTCAGCTGTGGATCTTCCCACAGTAAGCTATTGATACACCAGTCTGAATAGCTTCAAAGCTTTGGATCATGAAGGTCTTGTGCTGGATGAGCTCTATCCAAATGTGAGGTGTGCTCTAAAATTGGCCCAGGATCCTGTGGGACCCTTTTCAAGCCAGGTGTAAATGGTCGTGACCCCTTCCTGTGTAATTTTTGTTTGTGTACCATGGATAATATACCAATAATGAAGATTCATGATGGTAGTGGTAATGATGATTTCATGAGGTGGCAAGTGGGAGAAAATTCTCGTGACAACCTTTAACTGTAGTTGAAATAAACCACCCAAGTAATTGATACTTGGACAATGTAACTGCAGTTGACTGTCTAGAACAAGGCCCTAGGGCATGGTTGCATCTTTGGTTGTCAATTGCCAGTTTGCTAATCAGTACATAGGGAACCATCAGAATGAAAATAATTATACAAGATATTGTTGACTATGAATGGCGGGAAAGTTGCAACCAAAAGCAAACTGTGAGCAACAGCGAGCTTTGATGAAATACATGTAGTTTGTATTTGTCACTGTTACTCATATTTTGCTTTTGGTATACATCACATATACATGTACATGATTTATTAAAGCACCTGAATGATTCCTGAATAAATTAGGGCCGAGTCAATTTGAAGAATTTGCTATTCAAATATTCAAACTTCAATTTGGTCTTACCGACCGGCAGATTGTTGATGATTAAACCATATACATAAACCATAAACCACATCAGTTGCAATAACGCACACAATTGTACATTATTATCACTATAATAGCTTCTCACGTCTAGGAGTATCTCCAGCCACGATTTAGCAAGATTTAATATATGAACAATATTTCTTGCCCTGTTGAACATTTCTATTCCTTTAAATTTATACATGTAAATGAATATGTTACTTTTTGAGTCACTTTCATTTGAAACTTTCTGCTTGAAACAAGCCTCCGTAGTGCCATTTTTCTCATTTAAAACAGAAGAAAATTCTCCCTTCCTTTTCAAGAATTTTGCTTTCGGATATTCAAATTTGGAAAATGATATCTGAATATTTGATAATCGATCGAATATTGGGCACATCCCCAGAATAAATCTCTGCATCATTTTTGAGTTCAGACTTTTTATCAGCCATGCAATGGAACTTCCAATCTCCATAAAATAGAACTTTACTTTAATTTTGCCTGGGCTCCTAGTTGAACAATGACGCCGTGCCGTGCATTGCTGTGACATGTTATTCAGTAATATATGATCAAGAACCCACCAATCAGCTGAGGGGGATTTATTCAAGTGTTGCATTACACCTGTCACAAAGGAATTGACCCCTAGTATCAATTCAGCAATTTCCGAGTTCGCAGATTTGTAAACAAACCAACTATAGCAAACTTTGCATTAACAATTTAAGGAAAATTCCAAATGAAATGCCACTCCCACTGAATGCTTGACCCGTTTTGCTACACCAGGCAAGATATGGAACAGAGGGGTACCCCCCTTACCTGTCCAATCCCTATACACACTATAGACTATTTTTACCTAAAACATCCCCCTTAGAAGTCTGTAAAGAATTCCTGAGATTCCGATCAAACAATGACACAAAGGTGGGGAGGTTCTCTCTGTCCCATATCTTGCTTCAAATGAGTTTTGCCACGGGCCCGTCACCTGACATAAAATCAAGTTGGAGATTACAGTGGAAAATGCTTGAGAAGGACTTACGCTGTGTCAGTGTGCAAGACTAACCACTTGCTATCGTCTCTCTTCTTGTCATGCCCTGTCTCGTTTTGCCGTTGCGCAATGTCTTCTTGACCCAATCTCCCCTTTCCGTGTCTGTCCACCCAATTTGTCTGCCTTGTCTCTCTGTCTGTGTCAACCCCTACACCCACCGTACCCTTCTGTTCTCTGCAGCAGAGTTGTCAACCGACGCTGGGCTGCCGCAGTTTGAAAAATTTTCCTACTCTGGTGACAAGGGAGGACATCTCTAAGGCTCTGCAGCGGTAGGTTTGCTACAAAAAAGGGCAACAAGCATCCCTGTGTGGGAAAAAACTCCAAGGATGTCTCCAGTAGAGAGGATTTCAGCGGTCCTAGAACACATGTTATAAAAGAAGAAAAGGTTTTGGGCAACAAGCTGCAATATTTAATCCATTGTATAGGGCCATCATAAAAGCTGAACCAGAAATATGTATTGTAAGTGTTGGTTTTCTTTCTTGTGATGGCCAGCTATCGACTGGCATGTTTTCCTTTTTTTTTCTGGTTTGTTTCTTGTTTTGACTGTGGATGCCTTTTGCCATGTTTTACCGAATGTTCCACACCCCCCAAACAAAACTTCCATTGGCTGTGAAAGCTTTCAGCTTTCATGATGAAACACACGGTGGAAAGTAAAACAGTTGATCAGTATTGCAATCAATTTGGGGGCATACCATAATGACATTTAGGTCAGAAACCAGCAGGGGGGGAGGGGATTCCACGAAATTGGCAGAATTAGAGCTTGTGAGATTGACTCTAGAAATGTTCATGGGTGGGCATTGGGGATTTTTTGTCGTCAGTGCTCATGTAGCAGAATATCTTCTTTCTCTTCAATTTGATGGTGATCATCAAATGATTGGGAAAAAAATACTGATTAGGATTGAGGGGAACTGTACAAGTTGTAACTTATTTTCCCCAATTTCTCAATACGTTGTATCTGTATTATTCACTGCTGTAAATGTCTTTTGCTGTAGCCCGAGGGGGTCATTTGTGTTAGGAGAATGTTTGATATACATGTAGCGACCGTTCAGCATAGCAAGATTCTACTTTATATCCGCACACCTCTTTGATCTGCTGTTGATTTTCTGAAATATGTTTGCAACTTCTGCGTATTATCAATTCAGTAAGTGCAGCACCAGTGTGGTCAGACGCATGATGCGGTAATGTTATACATTCTTGTCCCTCAACATGTTAGCTGCCTTCAATAGCTGTGGTTACTTCTGGGTAGTCCGAAAATACAAAGAATCCATCTCTGATGTTGGCGCTGGTTTATTGACAATAATTTCTCGTCACTTTTGTCATGCCTGGAGCAAATAGGTACGTGTAGCTTTCATTTCTCCAAAGTTTTAAGAACATAAAGTTTGGTCAAGTGGGCCTTCATGACTGCATTGCATTAAAACTAATAGGTAGGTCCAGATGTGCAGTAACCAGGGATACAATAGCTTTGTGATTCAGCGTCTTTCTATCGGCTCTTAGAAAATGAAATCTTTACAAACTGAGCTCTGTTCAGCTGTTCACTGCAAATACCCAGCTGGTCAGATTGAGCAGTGCAGCCACATTTGGTCGAAATTAGGCACCAGTCAAGTCAGCCGCAAAGTGCATGCCGGGTACTGGTTCCTGACCCATGCTGATAATTTAGGGGATTGGCTCATGCAGATAAGGGCCATACATATTCATGCAGGAGGAAATGGAATTTGCATAACTACCTCTTGGACTGCGATGCAATATTGGAAGGAAGGTGTGCACATTGGGAGCATCGATCTGGATTTTTTGTGTATATTTGCATTCCCGAGAATCTCATTGTTAGCGCAGAAACAAATTCCTTGCACATGTGTCAACATTAGGATACCAGAGTTGTCTTACTTTGTTTGGCTTTTTGTTTTGGCGAGGCAGCAGTACAAGTGTGAAGTTTGACAGTATCAAAGCAAAGTCCAGGATTAATTGTAGCACGCTCATGAGGGTCACAACATTGGTTGTAGTGCCTAAGAAGTCTGGCCCAAACTTGTTCAAAGAAATGTTACAAGCTTTTAACTGAAATCCCACACACATTGTTCAAGACTGACTGTTTGTGTATTGCTGTTATATGTCAGTCCTCTGGAGAAATTTTGGAAACCAAAACCCTCAAGATGTCAGGTGTCGTGTGGTCTCAAAATAGCTGTAGCTTATAATTTTACTTTCTAAGATTTTGGATGCTGCGGCATTTTTCTTTTTTCAGTAGGACTTGTTGCCCTCGAATTCACTGAGGTGCTCTTTTTCCTGGCTGTGCCGTCTCTGCGACCAGATTTGGAAAGAAAAGGCTAATTGAAGAAGGCATTGAACAATCAGTAGTAAAAATTTCATGCATTGAAGATATACTTTCTTTACGGAGGATCACCACAGCCCTCTAACTTAATTCTTATGTTGGGTAATAACATTATCTAATCCAAACATTTCACAAATTGTTTTACTTTTTTTTACCCAGTCGGTGTTTAATATCTCAACCTTATTCTGGGAATTTTTTCTTCTTCTTTTTTTTGGCAAAGAAATATTTAAAGGAATGTACTTGTTATATTGTGTTGTATATTTTTATTTTGTCACTGAATCGCCCTATCTCTTTTGTATAGGCTTTTAAAAAAATCACTGATGTGTATAGTTAATGTAGTTTGTATGTGGTGGTTCATTTAGTTTGAGTTTGTTGAACTCGAATTGGCTCATGCACTGCAAGTCTGTAATCGTTCATTAGAGTTTTCAAACTAACATAAAAAATGTCACCATGCTATCGGTTTAGCTGTCTTTATTTTATTAAAAACTATATTTGCTGAAGGTCAAATGTCACAAGCATGAGATAGAGCACACAGCTTTGTATATACTATGTTGGGTCGTACATATGTGTGCTAATGTACATGTGTATTATAACTTTGCCAGTAAAGACTGAGTTAACATGCAGTAATGTTTGGTAAAAGGAAGTAAAAAACTTTTCATTTCACATTTTAGCCTGTAGAAATGGTATGAAATGTTAAAATGAAGTAGTAGATCTTATGGACTAATCTTTTGTGATCACCCAGACTTACGATTTTTAAAGTTCACACAAGACTATTTTTTTTTTAGATGGGCAGCTGTTGTTCTTTAAATTGAAATGTTTTTATGCTGTCCAAAAAAACCCCAAACAACTAGGAGCTTACTTTTTTTTTACTCTTACATTTTGCATTTCCCACATTTACCATGAGTATCTGAAATTGCATGAGCTACAATTGAACTGTGGCCCTATGAAAAGGAGGTAGGTGTATTATTAATGGGTGTGTAACAAGCAACCAACCAAATAATGGTAGCACTGTCCCTCATTTGGCAATGCCTCAGCACAGATTTAAAGTAGGCTATCAGAACTCGCTCTGTACTGTTTCGTGATCCGAATATTTGCTTTAGGCCTCTGGCTTCAAATCTCATTGAGAATTGAGACACCCTCAACACTGCTCTCATTTTGCCTTGGGAACCTCAAACGATCTTGTATGAAGCCCATATTTGGCAGCATCTTGATTTCCGTAGATGCAGTTTAAAATAGGTCTGGGGTTTGAGATGAAGCCGTAGTTTCAAAGTCAAGGCTTGGAAAATTGGCCCATGACTGGCTAAAATTTGATTGGCCGTGATTGTCATTCTTGTTGACAAGTTGTGAAGCTCTGATGAAAAAGTTGCAAAACCTACTAAGATGAGTCACAAGTTGCCAGAGCCCCTTTTTTCAATCAAAGGCCTTAAAAAGAATTTTGCGCTGAGTGAGTCAATAGGAACCCTCAACATTGTTCACCTACATCAATTTCTTTGCTCATGCCATAAAGCCAAACTGAGTGATATGTCAAAATAGTGAGCTCCATTTGCTCTCTCTCTGATGCAAACTATTAAAAACAAAATTACAGGGGACAAATGGCTGTCTGACTCATTTTATGGGATCTTGTCATGGAGATATCACGAAGAGCCTAGCTCTTTGCAGGAAAGTATATAACATGTACTGAGATTTCCCCCACCAAGGCAACTTTGTCACTATGGCTTAGGGGATTGAAGAAATCTTCTGAGGCAGGCTGGCGGAATACTGTTTTGAACAAGTGGAGGAAAACTCATTGAAGTTGGAAACGAAGACCCGGAGAAACATATAGTGCTGGATGAAATGCCAACTTTGACCCCAAAGGTATGAGAAGGTGCCATTGAGCCAATTTTCCTCCCTGCAACTGTGTTTTTTTGGGGGGGAGGGGTCTTTTTCTTGTTCCACCTGGCTTTTTTTAAAGACAGTATTGGGCTAAGTGAAAGTAAACGTCTGTTTTGTTTTTGTTGGTTGCTTATTTAAGAATATATTGAAATCCTGGAAGTCTCTGTATTGTATTTTATCGGATAAGTTGAACCACGAAGATTTGATGCATCTGTTTATTTCTGTTGATGGACTGAAACTTAGTCGAACAGGTGGGCAGCCTTACGGAACTGCTGTAGTCACTATTTTAAGTTGTAGAGTAATAATATAAAAGATAAACCATACAAAAGAGCCATTACAGTGAACTGTACAGATTGTTACAACTGATGTGGTGGTATTGTTAATGTGGACTAGTAAATGTTGACTTCATATGTATTAGAGAAAAGAGCGTGCATGTGATGGGACTTTACAAATTAAATATTCGAAGAAAACAAGTCTTGTGTATATCATTGTCGTGTACATGCATGCATGGGGCAGAAGAGTAAACATGCATTTGTGGATTGGCAAAAAAAAGGGTCAAGATTGCGAAGAAAGAGAAATCGGTTGAAGTAGCAAATTTGTTAAAGTGTGGTTGTGGTTAGTGCTATGGAAAGGCCTAATTAAGAAAAGTGGATGACTGCAGTTAACATGGATGTGGATGTTTATTTTGCCTCTGCTCATTTTTATACATCAAGGTAAGTCGAACTGAAAGTGTTGGGTTTATATAAACTTGTTTGGAGTCTGTTATTGTACAGTAGCCTACTCAAATTTTGTGCGTCTTGTTGAAAAAAACAACTGTAAAGTGTAAGTAAACTTACAGAAAGGAAAAAAAATGTGTTCCGTGTTGTTTAGTATGGGCCAGTTCAGTAGGCAAGTTGAGTCCATGGCAAGTCAACAAGTCTTCAGCCAAGTCACAAGCTTTTCAACTGAACTTGTCCCTGGATGGGGGTGGGGACCTGCTCCTGTATTCATGAAGGGGAAGCAGAGACAGGTCCTTAGCATCTTGCAATATAAGACCCAATGTCTCGTGCACACTACGGAGTGGGTGGCTTAGTCGACTGGTTAAATTCGACAGTTCAATGTGATGCAGTGATGGCTACCTGAGATGACTAAATTTTGTTGCCTCAAGGTCTGGACTCCCAGTCAAATTTTTTTCCAGCTCCATCTTACGGGTGAACAATAGACCAGGGTGATATTCGACGACCATTGGTGCTGTGCTTCCCGTGTGCATTTGTTATTAGTTATGGATGTCCATCAAGAACGATAATGACGTCATCCCCACTGAAGAAGGAAAAAACGAAAAGAGGAGAAATTTAATGGTGATGACATGGGTGCCTGTGATGACTCCTGTGGTGGCCACAGGGCCCAATCTCGGAGGCGCAGTGCCTCCCGCAGGTGGGGCAAGGGATTCCGTCACCCAGAGGGGGGGATCTGGTACTGTGGCACGTGACAGTGGCGTCGCTCCTCTCAGCTTTGAAGTGATCCACTGCCTCATGACATGGAGACCGCCACACATCCCGGTCTGTGGTGAGCTGCTTCAGGTGAGAGGGTGGGCCCCACACTACTTCAGGATCACCCTCTGATGGTCCTTGAACCGCTTCCTCTGACCTCCAACACTAATTGACCAGTGGAAAAGCTCACCGTAGAGAAATGTGCGAGGAAGTCAGTCCTCATCCGGTAGATGTGTCCAACCCAATGGAGCTGCCATTGAATAATGAGAGCCTCAACACTGATGAGAGCCTTGACACTGACACAGCTGGCTGTTTTGAGGATAGTAACCTGGTCCATCCAAGTAAGTCAGAGAATACGCTGGAGACAGCGGATGTGGAAAGCCTCAAGACTTCTAATATGTGCTCTGTAGATTGTCCAGGCCTTGCAGCCATACATCAAGCTGGAGATGCATGTGGCCTTCTAGACCTGTAGACAGCTACCTTGGCGGAGATGGTGATACCCTGGTTGAAAAATACACAGTGTAACAGCCAGCTAAAGGTACTGGGGGCTCTCTGCATCCTATTTTGGACCTCTTCATTGACATTGCAGGACGAACCCAGGATGCTGCCAAGGAAGATGAAGCTGTGGACTTGGCTAAAGCACATAACAGAAGGCTGGCCTTCGTAGGACACACGCAGGTGAAGCACTTCCGTCTTCCTGGCATTGATGACAAGCCCAGTGCTGGTGTAAGTATTGGCCATAGTGTCGAGGATCTTTTGGAGACCGGCTGCTGAGTGCAGATCAGGATACTGCAGATTAAGGATGGTCTTTGACCTAGTCTTAGTCTCTGCTTGCAGTTGTCGTAGGTTGAAAAGGCTGCCATCAAGGCGATACCGGAAGGTTATGCCATCATTCAGATGGAGCTGGTGTGGGGAAAGATGAGTCACCACTACCACCCGTTGAAGAGGACCGTTCGGAGGACACCTCCCTGCTTCACTCCAACTTTGACCTCAAAGGGCTCCGACTCCAGGCCCCCAACAACCATGCGGGTGAACATCCCTGTGTGGCTTGGGGGGCAGCCACATTTGGTGAGGAAGGTGGTCCATCACACTAGAGTCGCTGAGGTTGACACGGTTTAGGAGCTCACTGAAGTGCTTTGCCCAACAGGTGAGAATACCTTTGCGGTCCTTAACCACTTGCTGCCAGGTGCTTTTTAAAGTGCAGTGCACACATACGGGAGATTTTCAAGATTTTCAGTTTTCAAAATTTCTTCAAAATTCATCATTTCATTTAATGGACATTTACACCCACACAAATGACTGCATGGTGCTACTCTAAGCTGACAGGCAACCTTTATTGACTCCTGAGTATTTCAGCCAGGCCTACTGCCTTGTAAAGAGAGCCCAGAATTGTGAGGTGTTGTTTAGTCTCCTTTGTCCCCAGTGAATGTGAGTGGTGTCTTTTCAAACGCGGCTGGATTAGCATGCAGCGGTGCTGTGTCGCTCATCAATGGGGCCCTGGAGCACTTTTGTCCGCGGTGCTAATCCGCGGGCGTGCTATGCCCAAAACAGTGGTATACTTTTTAAAAACAGTGAAAGATAACCTTCGAAAAATGCAAGCCGAAAAATGATGGCAATTCCCAGCAGCAGGTCTTTTGTTTCGAGTACTGTCTTTTGTTACATGGACCAACTCTTTTGTCCCATTTCGGGCACCCCGGCTCTGTGTATAAACCCATGGTGCTCAAAACGGGGTTAATATGGGTGGAGTTATTGGCAGACCTCAGGGAATTGTAGTCCCTCTGATCAGTCCATAGATGGTCTTAACCGCATCATAAAAACCATGAAGGTCATGGAAGGAACCTTTTGTAGCAAGTCAGTGATGAGTTTGCACTGCACTGTAACTGCAAATCTGTTATATATAGTACATTTTATGTTTACTAGTTAAGAATTAAGCACATAATAAAAAGCAGTAGGGAACATACAGCGCTGATGAGCCAATGCTAAATCCATTATATGAAGAACGTTAAGTTGAAATTTATCTGATTACCATATGATGAAGTCTCCCAAAATTCCAATTTTGATGATCTGGCCAAATTTAGTCAAGGACATTTTGTTTCAATTCCAAACAAACGTGAAAAAATCTACCTGCCCCAAAAGTTGGGTGGCGGAGAGTAGATGACGACAGAAACAATGGCCAAAATCAGTTTGTAAATTTATCACAAATTTCAAGCAACAATACAATACTAATTTTCACACAAGCGTGAGTGGAGGCCGAAAGCCAAGTGGTATACAGGACACAGATCCATGCTCTACATTATTCTGTGTTCCGCAAGTGTGATAACAAATTCATCTTTAAGCAAACTTGATGCGCAGTAGAGATGTTATAAGGGCCTATGCGTGTGAGTGTGCCACCTTTGAATTTACGGTAAATTTTGCCGTTGTGTGTTTTGCTTTTAGCGTAAAAATAGCGCAGAACAGCGCATTATGCAGAGTTTGACCTGGACCATGCAACACAGTTATATACATTATTAGAACTGAAAACTCAAGTTTGACTGAAGATAAATACACCTGGAATATGCATTAGTAGTATGCAGTGAAACCTGTTGTCGGATATACAACTCAACATTCTGACACAGTACATGCTTTGATGCAAGGGAAGGATGCTACTCAATCACAGATACCTGCCACCATTAAAGTTTCTTACACCACACTATATTTTAGTGTCTTGGATCACGTGAAAACTCAATACATGTTGAACTGCATGGAAGACGTGTTAGCCGGAAATAAAAATTGTCACACTGACAGCTACATTGTACATACATGTAAACAAAAATAACACAGAGTTCTACGTGGATTGATTTTAATACATGTACATGTATGCAGTGACAACTGCTACAGCTGCCTCTTAAAAACCATGACATCATGTGAATATGAACTAATAGAAAGCTTCATTTAACATTTTTTGATAGCAACTTTTTTTTTTACTGATGGAAGTTTCATTTCTTAATCTGTTTCAGATGTTATAGTGCTGCCTTTCTTACAAACTTGATGTGAACTGAACAACCTGCTGCTCTTGCCAGTTGAATCCAAGCATCACGTATGCTCCAAATTAGGGAGGGGGGGTTACAGAGGGTGTAACACAGGCAGTGAAGGAGCACCAGGATCCAGAGCTGTTGAACTTGGGTCATTGATGCTTTCTATCCTGTAAAAAGAAATTTACATGCACAAGTAAAATGAATGATCACAAAGTGCAGTGCCTCAAAATACAAGAATACAAATGCAAATCCCCTGAGACTTCAAAAAACAGTTAAATGTGGGATTTGGATGCCTTATATGAATAACCTATTTACTCACTGAACGATGATTTCATGAGAAACATTATTTGGGGCTAGGTCAGGAAAATAAACAGGCGACATGCCATGAACTTTGAGGAGTTTTTAGAATTTGATACATGGTACACTCGTTAGTCAGTTCTCCAATCGCAATGTTATGCAGGCCTTTTAGCAGAATATTTTACCGCTTGGGGAGTTTGCTCGTGGGCTCATCTTCCTGTGACTGGCTCGCTGATGGTGATTGGTGCTTTCGTTTGCCTGGAGAAGAGCTTGAATTCTCTTTGAAGAAATCAGTCATTTTCCTCTGCGATTTGTCCTCCATCGCATCACTGTAAATGGCGATTTAAGTGGGCTGTGATATTTTGACTACAAATTTCAGGCATGCAGGAAAAAAAAAGTGGTAAGAAAATAAAAAACAACAAAACAGACCAGGTTTATTGGAATAACACTTGTAGCCCCATTTTAACCAAATGCTGCCAGGTTTAATTTGAAGTTGTATGACGTTTCCTGAGGAATTTTCAAGATTTTCTGTTTTCAAAATTCTTCAAAAATTCATAACTTCATTTACTGGACGCTTACACCCACATGAATGACTGTCTGGTGGCTACTCTAATCTGACAGACAACATCTATTGACACCCGAGTATTTCAGCCAGGCCTGCCACCTTAAGAGAGCCCAGATTGTGCGGTGTTGCATATTTCTCTTTTGTTCCCGAAACTGGCCCAGTGCGCTGCTGGCATCTTTTCAAATGCGGACCAGATAAGTGTGCAGCGGTATTGTATTGCTCATCCCTGGAGCGCTTTTGTCCCCAGTGGTAATCCGCCCACGCTGAATGCCACGAACAGTGGTATAATCATTCAAAACAATAACAGATTTCCTTTGCTGTTGACAACTGAAAAAATGTTGGCAATTCCCAGCAGCCCGGTCTTTTGTTACAAGGCCAAGCTCCTTTGTCCGATTTCAGGCACCCTGGCTACAAACCCAAGGTACCCGGTACCGGGCACCCCAGCATGAAGTAAGTGGTTAAGGGCCTCATATATAAAGACAGCAGCAAAGTAAAACAACCACAGCATCCTTGAGGCTTGTGGCAGATCTTTCTCTTACTTGCCTTCCCTCTCCCAAGGGCTTCTGATGGGTGCAAAATTATCCTTTGGTTGAGAAATCTCCAAAACCCAAGCACTGATATTTCAATGATGCACATTTTATAAATACGATTTAGCAATCCCAGCCATGTAGAAATTCATCTTTTTAGTTTACTTTGGAAAGACTTTTTTCAGCCATAAGGAATGGTTTTGAACATCTTTACTTGATTCAGACCAGTGCAGTCCAATAACTTCAGCCACGGGTGTAAATCCCTTCTCCATTGACTCTTCGTGATGAGAAAAAAGTTGAAGCGGATTGTGAAGAATTTTTCGGACTTCCCGACAACAAAAATGTATTAAGTATCACCCAAAATGCGAGAACATTAAAAAATTCCCAGAAATATGATGTGCTGATAGAAGATTCTGCAGGAATGAAGTACATGTTACAGGCTATGTAATCGTTTCATGAACGTTGCGACCCCCCCTCCCAATATAGTGTCAAATGGTGCCCTCAACCTTTATTTCATGGCTGGGCAAAAATCCGTCCCCCCCCCATTTCCAGCAGGGATTTACACCACTTTCTTCAGACATTTGCGCAAAGTCATTGCTCAAAAAGTTCTTACTGCTTTGCAGGTTTTCTCCTGTGGCTATGCCTTCTTGGATTATCTGTGGCCCTTCTGTTGAAGCAAAGAGACTCCAATCACTAACCACCACACGGTTCAGTTCTTTTTAAAAAGACTTCAAAATCAGGGCCAAAAATACGGAATTGTGTGAACGAATTTTTGGTTTTTCTCTTTTTTAATTTGAGTTAACGTGGATAACATGTATGTTGTGGATGACACCAAATTATAAGTCAACCAAATGTACTCCAACAAACAAAACTTCTTGTCAGGCCAAACAGCTTGGTGGGTAAAATGCCTGAGAGGAGGCACTTACCGTTGGTCGTATTGGAAAACCAGCTCCCTTTTGATAGCATCAAGCTTGCTGCTGTAAATAGTTGGTTTAACTCCATAGTGATTCTTGGCATAAACACCAAGGTATGTAAACAGGTCCGCCTTGTACGTCATGTTCTTGCAGAACCCAAGACTGCGGATACCCTTCTCAAGACGACGCACTGCCTCGACGTCAGTAAAGTCGGAATTGTAGATGCAAATCACATGTGACCTGTGTCTGTCATTACGGACACTGACTTTTGCAGAAATGCCCAGTTTGCCTTCTAGGACGGCCCTGGCTACCTTACTCCACAGTTCATCAACTGCATTACCTGTTTCTGCAAACAGCAACCATTTACCTACCAAGCATCTGAACAAGAAAAAATGTAGTCATATAATGTGGTTAGCACTGTCCATAAAGTGCTTACTCACAGAGGAGGAGGGCGTCCAGTTGGCAACGCATGCATACGCGGGCAGAGTACTACTCATGTCAGCTTTAACATATCAGAAAAATCACATATTCAATGGGGAAACCACATGTTGAAATATAGATGTTACTGAGACTAAAAATGCTATGGGGATCAATTTTTGTCCTCGCAATGCCGTTCCCACTTTCCTAATGATAGGAATTGTCCTTTTGATGTGGGGAAGAGAAAGACCTACCCATTGTAACACTCTTAAATGCATACCTTTCTCCCATTATCGTATCATTAACCCTAACAGTCCTCAATCCTTTACCTGTTGGAGGACTGAGGACTGTTAGGGTCAACATTGCAATGGGTCAAATGAAAGAGAAACATAGATGGAATGTGCACGTGTATTAGGGAAGGGGTATGACCCACTGTAGATGCCACAGTGTATACAGGACTGGGGGGGAGGTCTAAAAATTGTGTTTTGTGCTTACACGTACATGGGTCGCCCCTTACAGGTTGTTACAGAAAAAATGAACACTTTTGGTTGTAACAATACGAAAATTACAAATAACACCAAAAATTACAAATAAAAATACCTTGCCTCTAGCCCCCCCGCTGTAACATGACAAGTCAATCACAAGTTACACGTAACACAATCTCAAACATTAATGCACTAGCTATTGGAATGTCATGTGACATGTAAGGGTAATCATTTGTCGCTGTCCAATCACTTTCACTTGTCATTTGACTTTGTTTGTGACTCGACTTGCAACTGGCTGAATTGGCCTGTCACTAATATGTAATTGACCTTTCAGAAAGATTCCGCTGGAATCGACATGCCAGCCCCTTCAACTTGTATACTTAAGGTCACTGTAGCCAGTAAGCAGTTTGCAGCAAGTTTTGTATTTTGACTTGGGCTCAAAAGTTATTCATGACTGGGCATAAATGCACTTGGCTTAATCGGCCAGGCACATATTTGTTCCCTGCAATTTGTAGGTAGTCAAAGTCAAAAAAGGTTTTAAAATAACACATTTGCAATGATTGTGTGCAGCAATATCACTTCATTTTTAAAACCTCCCTCTAGCCAGGTTATGGTGTGTTCCTCTTGTGAGCAGCCATAAACAAAATCTCCTTTCATGCAGATCGATGTGAACTTGGCGCATACTGCGTGAGGTGCTTTGGTCAACTGTTGAAGTGTGACTGGCTCTTGACCAGTGGGAATGGCTAAACTGCCTCAGGTATTGGTGAATACTTCTTTAAAAACTGTTTGGGATTATGAATTTCAGACCTTTGTGCCTTTGCAAACTGACAGATGGCCTCATGGGTAGGTCTCATGGTGGCGCACAGTTCCTCCCATGCTGTGTACATGTCTAGACAACTTGCTTCCCCGTCTTCCTGCTCGTCAGAGACCAATTCCTCATTTTGGTCATCGTCAGAGTTGCTGTCAGGCAGGTCTGCAGCCTGGTCTGCAGCCTGGGTATTCATCTTTGAATGTCGAACACAAATCCAGTTATGACCATCCAAGCTTTTGAGAGTAAGGGAAAATTATGAGAATGAAATTGGGTATGTTGGGGGTTCGGGTCACATAACAAACAATGGCATGACCAAAAGGGAGAAGTATGGGATGTGCCACCTTCCTCCCCCCCACTTCCAAATATTCTCCCCTCAGAAAGAGAAGAATCAAAAGAGATTTGCATTGTATAGACAGCCTGCAACATGGGTCCTCATGGTTAGTACACGTACACATAGGTCTTAGTGACCTATGACCCCTTGTTCTCCGGATATACATGTGAACTGAACTGAAATATCAGGCAAGGTAGATCATGCAACCCTTTCTATAAAAATACACATTCTTTGACTGTTGACCAGACTAGTAACTGCTGCCCTGCTCCAGAAAATAAGCCATAAACAAAAATCCATTAATTTGACATTGACTCGACATGTTGATTGGTACAAGTCTCAACCGATCATTTCCTGCTTATATTTGTACTATCTTTGACAGTTACAGTGTATTTTGGAGGTGTAATGATATAACTGCAATGAGGAAAGAACAAATCAGCTGATCCCATTAATAAAAAGCCTAATGTCTAATAACCTGCATGCTTTCAATACCGGTACCTGGAAATCTTGGATGGGGCTTTTTCTGTCAGGAAAGTATCAAGATTCTCAGTGGATGGGTCGAATATAATCCAGGGCTGGCCCATTCTCTGTTCAAACACAACAAAGCAAACAACATATACACCAAAATTAATGATGTGTATAACAGAAACTTCTACTGCATAATATTCTAATACAAAGCCAACCATGAATCAAGCACCTTCCTCCAGGAATACATATGAAATTAGTGCGGTTGGTTAAAATGAGCAAAGGGTCCCAGAAGTGTACTCCTGTTGAAAGTCATCATAATCTCATATGCAATTGCAGGATATTTCATTTTCTTTTCCTGATTTGTGGCTCTGGAGGATTTGTTTTAAGGGAGATCACTGCACCAGGTTTGTATCTCCTGTAAGTCCGATCTCGTCGGTACAAAATCACAAAAAAAAACATTAGCACAGAACCTGTATACTAAAGTTTTCACAATGAAATTTACACTGCTAATGCCTAAGTCTGTATAGATGCCAGATGATGATCCCTAATTTTGCCATAGAAGTTAGAGTGATTGCGCATCATGTTTTCTTTTAAAGGACTATTACTGAGTACCAACTGTAAGAGGTCATATCAAAGTCTGGTGGATTTTCATAGTAAATGGCAACATCAGGGACTTGGCAACAATCAGGCATGGAACTTGGACTTTGACAAAAAGACAAAGAAATTCCAATCTTTACAAGACTTTGTACAGTGTTTTCAATTGTCAATGTAGAAGTTTGAAGTGAAAAAATGAGGAAATCAGCTAATCTGCGTGGCCACTGTCACGATGGGATGGTCACACGGTGGCCAACTCTCGTTCAAAGTTTCATTTTCAAAGTGAACGTCGAAGTGCCCTCTACTTCAAGTATTCTCTAAAATTCAGTTGAATACCTACGTCGTCCTGCTTGTAGTTTCCTTTGTTTAGCTTATAGTACACTTGAGTAAAACAAGGGAAAATAAGGTTTTTCTGACTAACAATCATACAACTTATGCTGTTGTGGATTGCAACTTAAATCATGCCTTCATGGATGCTTAAAAATTAAACGCAAGTTTGATTTTTGCGGCAAAAGGGAAATCCCCAGCGTGTTTGTTCGCAGAAAACATTCTTTACTCTAATAACGCGTGGACAGGAAAAGAATTCAGCCGCCAGCCGCGCTTGTTCCGACTTCATAACCAACGCAGGGTTCATGCCATCACGCATGGGGCCAGGGATGAGGAGCGAACCTAGCGTACGCCCTCCCCGAATATTTTGTATTTGTTAAAACGAGGGCTTGATTTTATTTCCATTTTTGCTATTTCTTCTACTGTTATTTTGTTAACTGGTTATTTAATTAATGTAAAGACAAGTATTTGCTCTCGGATGAGCAAATATTCCACTCGTATGCCCGAGTTTCAACCATACACACACAAAACTTTAATGAATTCTTGAAATTGTAGCTGTGCAGGAGATACAAAATATTAATTCATTAATTTAAAAAAGAATATATATAAATCAAAAAAGGAACTTCGTTCATATTTGAACGGATAGGGGATGTTTGTGCGTTGCTTCATGTTTTGTGCTGGAACTGAATGATTCAGGGCAACAAGTGTTTATGCTTACAGTTTTAGCTCCCGTCAAATAAATAAAAGCAATAAAAGCTAACTTGCACCACTCTGCCTGATTTTTTTTTACATTCCACCCGTTTGTATTCGGATCCGACCTCTACTTTACACAAATATTATCATCATCCTCACGAGAGTGAAATTTTTACACAATTCAAGAGCCACGGCTTCCGCGCCGGCCCGCACCGGTGTTTTAGTTGGCTCTGTGCTCACCGTCCGCCCCGTGACAATGAAAGAACTTGAATAGCCTACCAGCGGCAATTTTTTTAAAGAATTCAAATGACCCCATTGTGTCCTTTCTGCTCAGTTTCACGTCACAGGGGGACTGAAAGACGCTCGTCTCCATTGCCGAGAAAAATGGGGAAACTGGGGGGGGGGGAAATTCGCCGGTTTCCGCATGACATGCCTTGGAATCGAACCTACATTGTTTATGGTTTTTCTTTTACGGCGTGGCACTAGACCATTTTGAATGGGGGGGGCGTGCCACGTGAAATTTGCAGGCTGACCATCATGCACCTTTTTCATCTTCATTCTCCGTTCTTCGTTTTTTAAATTTTGACCATCATGCACCTTTTTTTCATCTTCATTCTCCGTTTTTTAAATTTTGCCGATAGACCATGATTTTGACGACAAAACTAACCGGGGGGGGGGTGACACCCCTGGCATCCCTGGCGCTCTGCTCATGACGCCTGTGTTGGTTCTGTCTGCTACTGTTGAGCACTTTTCTATGCTCCCAAGACAAAAGCTACAACTACATTGGTGCTTGTAAACTTCGTTGCACTAATTCCGTTTTGTTTTAGTTTTAAAGTCAATTACAGTCGAGCTGGGTTGATCAGCTGAATTAAACTCTGAATCATCATGGTCCCTCCAAGTCAGAACATAACATGAATATTCATTTGAAACTATTATAGTAGAGGGGACTTGACTTGGGGATCTCCGCCATTACGCTAGTTGCATCATAGCTGGTGCTTTATTAGGCTGCATCCGAATCTCTTTTCTAGAGCTAGGTCTAGGTCTTCGCTCCATTGGAAATGCGTGGCGACGCGTAGACGATAGACCTAGCNAAGCCCGTTTCGGACATGGCGCATGTGGGATTTCTTTCACCGTTGATGCTTAGGGCGCCCCCAATAACACCGCGCGCTCCCTACTATGGTTGGTACACGATCGAAAACATTGGATGTTTTGAGCGCGACTCGTAGTCGAACTGAACAATGGAATAGACAGCCAGAGTTGACATATTTTTCAATTTCCATGTAAAATTCAACAGAACTTGTATTTATTATTCTTAGCCTGAATGCATTGCGCGTAACTGTATGCAACCTCTAAATTGTATTATCTTGGATGCAAAATTGCAGAGATAGACACACCATGCACCATTTACATCGCTGAGTCCCCGTTGTACGGTGACAACCATACACTTGTGAACTTGGCATCTGAACTTGAAAGTTGTATTTTTGTAAGCCCTGGACATTATCAGAGTGCGCTTATGCCATCACAATGAAATAATGGTTTAGTCAAAGCACTAGACATATCCAGTCATTATAAAACTACCACCTATATGACGGACTTCTTCACGATAAAGCTTAAATCTAATAATAATTATAAATTGCAACATTGCACCGACCGGCATTAGTCTGCAGCTAGCAATCTTAATCCGAGCACTCTTAAAATTGGCAAACATTAAAAAAAGAAGAAAGATTTGCTTTCCTCCCATGGTCTTAAAACCAGTGGATACTGAGTCGCAAATAACAAGATAGAGCAGTGCCGAATGTGCAGCATCTTTGAGTGGTTACATTTCCGAACACCCGAAGTCAGAATCACCACTGCGGGTGAAGCACTTCACGAAGCTTGGGAAAAACAGTCTCCTCCATTCTGTATGATCACTTCGGCCCTCAAAAGGCAAAATGGGTGTCACTTGGATTTTGTTGTTTTGAGGGGAAGTCATTTTCAGAGTAAGTTTGGGGGCCATGGTTTCGTTTTAGTCCGAGGCCAGCCGTGCCCATTGATCTACAGAGCTCAGTGATAGGCCCTACATTTCAAAGATAGCCCCCGGGTATGATCTTGTACAAAGTTTAGTTTATTTAATTCAAATAAGCAGACAAAGAGTCAATATTGAAATAGGTCGTTTTAACCAAATAATTGTTTTCACGTCCGTGGTAAAATTGAGTAACTGGTTGAAATTTATTTCAATAACCAATCATTTTACTGAGTGTTCACAGATTTGTTTACAATACGGGGAGAAAATACTTTAATTGATTGGAAATGAGAAAAATTACATGGCCTTAAAATGTCAATCAGATTTTTCTCTAAATCCATTTTCCTGTTTGTTCATGTCGGCCTACATCACACCCTCCTAAGACTCGCACCCTTTTGCTTGGCCCCTAAAGGTGCCAAAACGCGTTGGAAAACATGACTGGTACACTCGAATTCGAACGTGTATGTCCATGCGTCTTTTGAATGTGTACCAGTTAAATTGTCGAAGCCTGGAGTTTTCCTGTGTGATTTCGTGTTGTGCGCGTAGAGCGCTAGCGCGGGTTGCCTGATGGGGCCTTAGCTTTATATACAGTACATAGAGGACGCGACATGTACAGTACATGTACGTACGTGTACGTATGCGACACTCAGCGGACGGATCGTCGCCGTAGTGTTGTGTACCTTGCTTGCAAGAAATTGTTTTACTGGTGCAAAACTTTGCGTGAATTTAAGCAATGGAAGACTTGGCATCTGTTCAGTAGTTATGGCACATCTTCCTAGTACACAGGTAGGTTGTGATCACATTACAACCCTTCCTTTCGCAAACGGTAACCTGCTTCTTCTCCATGCTTGGTTCAACGTTAAGTTATGTCTAGGTGGTTGTCACGCGACGCTTTACGGACGCTGCGCTAGAACTTAGAAGCCGATGAGACTGGTCTGGAAATGTGGGGTTTTTATTTGAATACCTCAATAATTTCACTGCTTATTTTGACTTTTTGGGACATTTTATTACTTTCAGATGGCTATTAACTTTTTACTGTGGAGAAAAATTAGTGATGTCCGCATTATAAGCTTAGCTAGCCTACTCATTCATGTCTCCATTAGGGCAGGAAATTAGGCCTACTTTTCGTCGAAAACGTGTAGGCCTATACTATAGGCCCTAAATTGTACTTGAATTTGAGGCTTATTTGAAGAGATTGTGGTGAGTCAGGTTGAAATCTCATGCATGATGATAGACCATAGAAGTTGTGTGCTTTTTTGCAATTAACTTCAACTTGTCATAGAAGTTGGCATGTTGGAAAAGATACTGCTACTTTGATTGTAATAACTAGGTCTAATATGAGCTGTTAAAAGCTGTAGGATGAACGTTTTTTGGAAAAGAATAAAATTGTGAAAAATGACCATGCCAGGTTCATGGGGAGGGGGCGATGATGATAAATGCTAACCCCCTCCCCATACAAAAACATGTTGATATCATCCAGGACCTTCTCCTGAACTGGAACAGGTGTGGACGTGTGTTCCTGTTATGTGATTACAAACATACATGTACAGTTTGTACAGGTTTGTACATGTATGTATTAGCTTAATCTTAAATGGTCAGTAAGCAATGGACTAAGCCTTACCCTCATATTTGCAAAGTGTCTTCATCTGTGCAAAACAACGAATGGTATGATGGGATTTTTTTTTTGTAATAATCCTAACCTTCCCAAATCCTCCTTGGATAAGTGGCGGATTTTGAGGGATTTGTGCTACGTGTATGCTGCAAAAATGAGTGGTTGATTTCGAAGGATGCATTGGTTCAAGGTCTTGGGGCAGAACTTGTTGTCATCCTCAGCCATGATTAAGGTAGGCTACCTCCATGGCCATGGGTTTTGTCTTGTCTGCCACGCTCCCAGCAGGGAGGCTCCCATGAAGTGTAATGGACGACCATGGAGGAAGGAACCCCAGAGTTTCAGGGGATCCTCTTTATACTTAATGCTGTGGAGAAAATGTGTTTAATTCCTCCATGGCTACCGAAGTAGGCCTAGACCTACTAACTTGGGGTGTTAAAACCAGAACTGCTTCTTCACATTTTGGACTTACAGTGTATATATGATTGATCAAGTCCAAAATTTGAAAAAAAGAAGTTATAACGCCCCAGTTAGTGGGTCTAAGTTACTTGCAGAACTGTGAAAATCAGAGTTTTACTCACTAATCTCCCGTTTCCTACCCGACAATGATCGCACTGCACTGTACACTTTGATGCCTCACATCATGCACATGTGGGAGTGGCTGCAGGTCAATGGCTGAGATAACTCCCCACGTCAGTTTGCCCATTTTGGAGGGGGGGGAATCTTGTTTGTATTACTGCCTAGCTGTTTTACTGGACTGATACCAGCACGATGCTCACTACATGCTGTGCTACGTAGCTTTAGCTGTGTGGCTGTGACCTGTACTTTACTGGTACTCCCCCCCCCCCCCC